ATGTAGAAGAGACATGAAGAAGAGGGGACACATGTTGATGCAGAAGAGACATGAAGAAGAGGGGACACATGTTGATGTTGAGGAGACATGAAGAAGAGGGGACACATGTTGATGTAGAAGAGACATGAAGAAGAGGGGACACATGTTGATGTAGAAGAGACATGAAGAAGAGGGGACACATGTTGATGTAGAAGAGACTGGAAGAAGAGGGGACACATGTTGATGTAGAAGAGACATGAAGAAGAGGGGACACATGTTGATGTAGAAGAGACATGGAGAAGAGGGGACACATGTTGATGTAGAAGAGACATGAAGAAGAGGGGACACATGTTGATGTAGAAGAGACATGAAGAAGAGGGGACACATGTTGATGTAGAAGAGACATGAAGAAGAGGGGACACATGTTGATGTAGAAGAGACATGAAGAAGAGGGGACACATGTTGATGTAGAAGAGACATGACGAAGAGGGACGACATGTAGGATGTAGAAGAGACATGAAGAAGAGGGGACACATGTTGATGTAGAAGAGACATGGAGAAGAGGGGACACATGTTTGGATGTGGAAGAGACATGGAGAAGAGGGGACACATGGTGATGTAGAAGAGACATGGAGAAGAGGGGACACATGTTTGGATGTGGACTATGGATTTTGCACAATAGGTGACCTTTAAGAAAGTCTTTGTGAGTAGAGGGTCTTACTGGCTACGTTGGGGCTGGACCGGTGGTCGGCTCGGTTCTTGAGCAGCCGGTCTTCGTTGGTCTTCTTTGGTTCGGGGTACGAGTCCCAGCCGGCCTGCGGACTCTCCGGAGAGCCGTTCTGCACCGAGTTGTTGTAAAGCTCGAAGCCCTCGCTCTTTGGTCGCAGCTTTCCGTTCTTATCACGCCCTCGGTCTGCAGCTGGAGGGACGAAACAGAGAGAATGGATGCTTGAATTTGTTGTTGCAGTAATAACAAATATCACTTTCATTATTTTCTTAATGCAGATTTTCTTTTACTTTGTGGTAATGATTTGACATTACATCAAATCTTTGGGCAGTTTGGGAGATTAAACTTAATAATGTTACGGTCCTTTTGTACTGTCTTAAACCTTTCCTTAGAACATATCATGAATTGTAAGGTGTCCTTGGGTGCTTTGAAAGGCACCTCTAAATAGAATTAATTTTTTATTATTAATTCCTACTTTTTTAAATATTGTAATTGTAAGCCAATTGTAGGTTTATATAAAACCGTAAAGAGGACATATTATGCTGATGTTCAGGTGTATATCAGTATGTAGTGTCTCTACTTTAAAGAGTCCTCTCCTGCTGATGTTCAGGTGTATATCAGTATGTAGTGTCTCTACTTTAAAGAGTCCTCTCCTGCTGATGTTCAGGTGTATATCAGTATGTAGTGTCTCTACTTTAAAGAGTTCTCTCCTGCTAATGTTCAGCTTCATATCAGTATGTAGTGTCTCTACTTTAAAGAGTCCTCTCCTGCTGATGTTCAGGTGTATATCAGTATGTAGTGTCTCTACTTTAAAGAGTCCTCTCCTGCTGATGTTCAGGTGTATATCAGTATGTGTAGTGTCTCTACTTTAAAGAGTCCTCTCCTGCTGATGTTCAGGTGTATATCAGTATGTAGTGTCTCTACTTTAAAGAGTCCTCTCCTGCAAATGTGTGTTTTTTCAAATGTTCCGGTGCTCCTTTTTTGGCGGGGGGTGCACATGCGCACCTGTTATGTGCAGCCCTGTATATAAGACTACAGGAAAGAGAAATCCCAGAAAGCCTAACAGGGCCCTTTTTAAAACAGAGTTAAGCGTAACGACTTCCCTCCTGAGTCTCTATGTCTGCTCCCTGAGTCTGTGAGAATCTACACTTTGACTTGTCCAGTTTCCAAACACTAAAGAGTGGCCGGAGTCCTTCACAGCCTGGAGGTTACATTTCACCGTCTGACTGGAAAACAGGCTGTGGTCGAGGGAGAAACACCCGTTAGCGTCATCCTGCACCGCAGAAGACTTCCTTAATGAATCTGGGGTCACATTCCAGCGGACAAAGACCAGCACAGAGCCAGACAACCCCGTAAACTCTGTCCCAACATGCGTGTGTGTGTGTGGACACGCTTACACACGCACACATATCTGGCTGTAGCCACAAACACTCATTATGTCCTTCAGTCTGCAGGACTTTTTTATACGGGGCTGCAGAGAAGACAACAAGGACTCAGTGTCTGGACCAGTCTGCTTCTCCTCTTTCACACCAGAAGCTGTTATTGACTAATGGTGGAACTGACAATAGTCCATTCATTACATGTTACAGTACATTACACTTTTCTGGCTTTTCATTTAACACTTTTTCTAATTGTCATGATTGTTCAAAAAGTGAAAAACAGCTGGAATGCACATTGTATTTTGCTATTGATTAATGAACATCACATTTTTTACAAGCACACATTTCTGAAGTGATGGTCCACAAAACCTTTTATTCGATATTTTTTAAAAAGCCAGTTTTTCTCACTTGAGGGACTGGAAGAACAAAAAAAGACTTTTTTAATCGAAAGATTACAAAAAAACGATTGTTTGATTATAAAAATCGTTGGAAATACATTTTTTTATCAATAGAATATTAATCTGCAAAGTTTTTAGTTTTTCATTAAGCGCCAAAAGTAAAAGGTTCCTCAATATCATGAGAAACAAGAACGTTATTCTATCAAATACACTCTACAATTGCAAAAAAAATAAACAAGTCAGATGAATGACATTTAAACAGTTAGAATGTGTGTGTTCTCACCTCGGGGCAGCAAGGGGCTCGGCTGGTTCAGGAGCGTTGCCAGACCGTGGTAGATCGCTCCCTGCTTCGCCACCTCCAGAGTCACCACTGCACCCGTCCTCGTCATCAACTCCGCAGCCCTGACACACACACACACACACACACACACACACACACACACACACACACACACACACACACACACACACACACACACACACACACACACACACACACACACACACACACACACACACA